TTGAAAATGAAACGACATTACTTTCGGGACAACTTAATAAATAGATAAATCAATCTCTAATATATAAAGCAGAAAATTTATGTGTTTGTGCACATTTACAGTCATGAAGGATGAGCGGTGAAGATTATTTTGATCCAATGGGGTTTCAAACCGGGTAGAACCCGGTAAGCCAGCTCGTAACTGATAAAGCGAAGCTCACTTTATCATCGCAAAACAATGAGAAAAACAAAGAGGTTTGCTTACTCAAGAGGAGAAAAGAGCTGTAAGATGAACTAGAGCATAAACTGACACTGTGCGGTGACTTATTTTTGATCAGGAATAGCTCCTGATTCCCGCCAATCAATCGAAATTGAATCTCTCCGTTTTTCCCAGTATCGCTATCCGTTGCGACAATCTCTAATGTGGCATCCCGTGAACCTAAAATTGAGTGTATAACTCTTTACCAATGCACAAAGGGTCAAAGATTGACCTTCGGTGACGTTCCAAACCAAGTTATCAAGTTCGAAGACAGGAGCGTGATTATTTTGATCTTCCACTGTTATTCGCACAGTTGTTGAATCCTATAAGGGAATGTAGGACTCGAAAAAAATGCAAAAACCCCTCATCAGTCTTACCTTGTTTCCACTATTATCTATGGCTTCTACAATTACGTCGAACTGTTTTAGAGTCTCTCGATCTAAAGCGTAATCGCCCAAAATCAAAGTGCCGTCCTCTTGTATGAACACCAGCTCTCGACCAGATCCTAAAATAGTTCAAATATAGGGAAGAATATAATAAGTGCAGTTTTGAAACGCTTGAACTAAACTTCCAGAAAGTGCCTGTAAGTTACATCATTCTCTCTGGAACCTGTGAATGCTAGAATATAATTTTACAAAAGATACGTTTTTTCCAAGCTGTAACAAATCAGCTATTAAACTTCTTTCCGTCTAGAGCGTTTAACTCGTCGTTACTAACAACAAGTACCACTACAAACGATTCAGAAGTTACGGTAGATATACCACAAGAGTTACGGTAGGTGGCATTAAGATCAATATGAATAAAATCAATCGATTAAAGACAGTTGCAAAAGCTTTAAATTTTAAATAAATGGTAAGTGGTATAAATTGGTATAATAAGTGAGATAAATTATAAATAA